GGTGCAGCTCATCGAAGCTCCCCGGGTTCCCCAGGTTCTCCCCCCGGCGCGGTGCTCGGGGCACGGCGGGACCCCACGCGTTCCCCATTCCCCCCCCGGCCCGGCCCGGCCCTACGGCCGCCGCCCGCCCCCCCCGAGCGCTGTGGGCGCCGCCATCGCGGGTGGGGGGCAGAGAAGCCGGAAGGGATTCGTGAGGCCGCGCCTACGCTGATGTCGAGGCCGCCATCTTGAGTGCGGGCAACGCCGCCTTCCTATTGGTTCAGGAGGAGGGGAGGGGTGGCCGCCATTTTGGGTGCGGGCAGCGCTACGCTCCCATTGGCTGAGCCCGAAGGAGCGGTGCGCCGCGCTCCGTCGTCCCTCCCGGAATCCGCCCCCATCGTGGCACAGTTCCGCAGTTTCCGAGTTCCGCCACCCCCTTTTTGCGTCCCCCCTGTCCTCTTCCGACTCCCCGCGGGCACAGCCTGTGTCTCTTCCATGCGTCCCCGTATCCTTCCCTGTGCCACCTCCCTACACCCTCACCACGTCCCTCTTTGTGCCCCCTCTCAGAGTCCCTATGCCCCTCCCTGCGCCCACTGCCCACCCAACCCCCCCATGTCCCCTAACCATACCCCATGTCCCCTTCCTGCATCCCCTCCCCACTGTCCCCACCGTGTTTCCTCTCTGTCCCCTGCCTTCTTGTTCACCCCACGTGCTCTCCCCACATCCTTGGACCTCCCACCCCTCATGTCCTCCCTCCTGTCCTTTTCCTTTTTCCAGGAAAAGGCCCCCACCGCCCATTGGGGACAGAGGGATGTTGCCCCCAGAGCCACCACTGTGCCCTTTGTACACACTGTCCCCAAACAGCAGCCGTGTCCCCTATGGTGGGTGTGTGTGACGCTGTCACACCATGGCCGAGGGTCAGTGATAAGGGTGGACAACGACCTTTGACCCCCCGGGTGGTAGCAGCGATTAGGGTGAAGGGGGGGGGGGGGGTGGGCAGCACCCTCTAATGACGCTTCCATACACACACATACAGAAATGGGATCGTGGGGAGGAGGCAGCTGTAGGGCTATGGAGGGGGGTCCTGGGGCAAGAACTGTGGGGTAGCAACGTGCCATGGGGATACTGCTTGTGTCACCCCTATCTGCCAGCATCACCCCTCACCCCCATGAGAGGCCACCGGGGGTCACAGGGTTGGGACCCCATGGCATGGGGCCACTCACAATAGGGTTGAGGTGGGGCTGTTCCTCCCCACCAGTGACCCTTAACCCTGTGGTGTTTACCCAAGCACAGCCCCCCAGCCCAGGGGCGGGGGCTGAGCTGGGGGATAAAAGGACCTGAAGTCCCCAGAGAAGCACCGCAGTCCAAAGTTCTGCTCTGGTGAGAGGCTGCGGGGTGGGATTATGATGTGGGTGGGCAGGATGGGGCTTAAGGGGTGGGATAGGGCTGTGGTGTGGAACGGGGCCATAGGGTGAGATGGGGCTGTAGGGCGGAATGGAGCTGTGGGACAGAGGTGGGGGCAAGGCAGGGGCTGTGGGGTGGTTCTGGGGCAATGGGATGGGCTGTGGCCCGATATGGGGTGCAGCCCCCTGGAAAGGGGACGGTGCCCCATGGCCACCACCACCCTCAGCCACTGCCATGAAACGTCTGTGGGTCGCGGTGCTGCTGCTGCTGTGTGTGTGCCATGTGGGGTCCGTGGCCGTGCCCCAAACCGAAGAACCCCCGGAGGCTCCCCCAGACACCACCACCCTCCTGAGCCGCCATTTCCAGACCCTGAGCGACTTCATCACCAAAGAGCTGCCCCAGCGCCTGCGGGCGGACGAGATACAGCAGCAGGCCAAGTATGTGTGGGGCTGGGATGTGGGATGGCCCTATAAGGACCCCCCCACTAAACCCCCCTGTGCCCCACAGGGCTTATGCTGAGCGTGCAGAGGTGCAGCTGAGGCCTTTGGCTCAGGAGCTGCGCAGCAACGTGCTGGGGCTGTTCTCCTCCCTTCTGGATTTTGGGAAAACTGGGGGCACGGAGAAGGACTGAGCCCCACAGGGACGGGACTGAGCCCCATAGGAATGGGACTGAGCCCCACAGTGATGATATGGGGGGAATAAAGCATGGAGCTGTTGTGGAAGGTGTGTCTGTGTGTGTTTTGGGGATACGGAGCTGTGGGGTGGGTGGAGGGATGGGGGTTGTTGGGATGTGGGGCGCATGGAGGTGTGGGGATAGGGATGTGGGGTAAAGGGACAGAGGGAAATAATGGGGATATGGGGAAATTGGGATGTGGGAGCGCTCAGATCTTGGGATGGGGGGAAAGAGAAAGGATGGAAAGGGGGGGGGGGAAGAGAAGCAGAAAAGAGAGGAAAAAGGGGAACTCTGGGGGAAATGAAAATGGGGGGAAAAAGGGAAAGAGGGGAGGAGAAAAGTGGGGGGAAAAAAGGTAAAGAAAGAAAGGAAAAATGAAAGAAGCGAGAAAATGGAAAACAAGGAAAATAAAAGGGGGGAAATAAGAAGTAAAAAGGGGGAAAAGGGAAATAAATAGGAAAAATGGGGGGTGAGAGGAGAAAGGCAGAAATGAAGAGAAAAAAGAGGAAAAAAGGGGAGGAAAAGAAAAAAAGAAAAAAAGAAAAAAGAGACAAAAGAGAAAAAAAAAGAAAAAATGGGGGAAAAAAAACAAAGTGCAGCTGAAGGCTGACATTGAGCGCTGCCAGCACTAAAGATGGCGGCTCCTCAGGCAACACCGCCTCGTACCCGCAATAAACATGGCGGCAGCGCCCTCCGGCCCTTCACCAAGATGGCGGCACTTCCGTCCGCGCCCCCTCCAAGATGGCGGCGCTCTTTTTGTCTCCCCGCCCCTTTTGCGTCATTTCCGCCCGCTGCCAAGATGGCGGCGCGGTCATCCCCGCCCTCAAGGGCCAGCGCCGCTTCCGGGCCCCGCGATGGCGGAGGAGGCGGCGCGCCGGGCGGTGGCAGCGGTGCCGTTGCTGCGGACGGCGGCGGGGCCGCGGGACCGGGAGCGTTGGGCCGAGCGCCTCAAGGAGGAGTACAAGGCGCTCATACAGGTGCGGCGGTGCCGGTGTCCCTTCGTTTCCCTTCCTTCCATCACCTTTTCCAGCTTTCTCCTTTTTTTTCTCCCCCATTTCCCCTTTTTCTTAACTTATCCACAATTTTTCCATACTTTTTCCTTTCTTTTTCCCATTCCATCCCTTTTTGCACCTTTTTTTTTTCCCCCTATTATTTCTGTTTCCCCCTACCCATTTTTCCTGTTTTTTTCTCCTTCTTTTTCCAACCTTCTCATCTTTTGCCCCCATTTCTCTTCTATCTTTTTCCTTCGCTTTTCCCCCACTCTTCCCCCTTTTAACCTTTCCCCTCCCCCGTCACCCCTGCAGTACGTGGAGCACAACAAGGCCTCTGACAATGACTGGTTCCGCCTCGAGTCCAACGCGGAAGGCACGCGGTGCGTAGGTGGGCGGGGCTTGAGCCGGGGGGGCGTGGCCTGCAGTGACTGGGGGCGGGGCTACGTGAAGACCGGACCAATCGGGGGCGGTGTTTCAAGCCGTGGGGGCGGGGCTATGACAATTGAGGCGGGGCTTCCCGTCTTGGGGGCGGGGCGTGGGGCTGCACTGCAATGCATGGAGC